TTTTTTTATTTTCATGAATTTTCAGTCTACTTTTATAGAGCATTGATTTAAGAGTTGTCTCCTTTTCAAATTTTCCTGATTGTTAGTATTAACTTCATTCGGCTATCCTTCTCCATTCACTGTACTTTGCCATACCTTTTCAATTTTCTTAATCAATGAGATATAATTATTTTCCTATTTTTCATGCATTTTCAATCTACTTTCATGGGAGCATTGTTCAAGAGTAATCTCATTTTTAAATTTTCTAAATTGTTAGCATTAACTCCATCTGGCTATCATTCTGCATTCGCTGTACTTTCTCATGTCTTTTCAATTTTCCTAATCAATGAGATTTAATTTCTTTTTTATTTTTCATGTATTTTCTTTATCACTGTACTTAATATTAATCAACTCTCATCAATTGTCATCCATAAACATTATCGGTAAAAGAAAAAAAAAGGAAATAAAAAGAAGTTTACTTTTGATTCGGCTCATCAATCTTTATTTTGTGGTCTTGGTTCTTCAAATTGTGCATATTTTATCATACATTTTGCATTAACAAAATAATGCAGCGACTCTTCATCTTTTCACATAGAAAAAGCAAGGCAGAAACGATTTGGCAGATAATACATATTCAATTCTTTGACCATATATACATATATAAGAAAAAAATATATCTCTTTCCTTCTTGGTGAGGAAGAGATAAGAGTGTGCTTTCTTATGCATTTTAGGCGCAAATCCTTTTTCTGCCTTTTGACCTTTTAATATTTATAATATTTATAAATATTAAAAATATTTAATAATTTAAAATATTGGCAATAAATTTTAAATTTAGCCAAAAACAAGATGTGTACAAATAAAATATCCAAAAAGAAAAATGATAAAATAGAGAAACTCTCAAAAATTTAGCAATCTTAGATGTGTTGATAGTAATGATATTGATAATATTTGTTTCAAACTTTTTAATTTCAATCTGTGCAATGCACAGAAAATTGTCTAGTTTCAACCAAATGTAAAACCACAAAGGTAATAGGCCACAACCGTCCTATATTACCATTTTTTTTGAAATAGGGGAGTTGCTTTTCTAGCGGCTCCCTAAAATATAGAAAAAAAATATATCAAAAAAATTTCAAAATAGTTTAAAAATTAGATTTACACTATTCAATTAAAACTATAATGTTTACAATTTAATTATGTCAAATTATTCTATTTAAAATTCAATGATATAATAAATCAATCATTTTAAACTAAACTAACAATCCCTAAAATATGTACTATATATTGATAATTAAACTAATCTATTTCTAAAACTAACTATATATTATCACCTCATATTGGACGTGACCCACTTTTTATATACATATTCGCTCTAGTTTTTGAGGATTTTATTAATATGTGTATCTTCAAAATGAGGTATAGCATAGTTTAGATAGTACTACAACATACATGATAATAAAATTAGTAATGACAATTAAAATTCATTATAACATGAAAAATTGATTTGTGAAACTGTATTACTCCAACCACTTTCAGCTTTCAATTGGTTCAATTTCAACTTTGACACGTGTTTCCTAGCATTAGTGTACAATGGTATCCTCTTATTGCTTCTCAACCTTTCAAGCATTTCAGAACAATCATTCAATTCTACTTCAACTGTGTTGACTATCTCTTCAACACGATCTACTTCATCTACACACTTGTGTCAAAGTCATTAACACATAGCTATGGCTACTGCTGGTCATGTCTCTTACCTCTATACTTATAATTTTGATCAATTCTTTTAATACTAAATGGTCTTCTAAGTCCTGTGTAGTGACCCATCTTTAAATCCACATCTTAGACAAAGGCACAAATGTTCTTGTGCTTGCTTTATGTTCGACGCCAACCATAATAAAGTGGCTCACCCCTTCCAATATTCCCCTGATTGTCGATCTGCATACATCCATACATTCATTCTTTATCCATAATCTCAATCTATCAAAAATTGTTGAGGCAAATGCGATGAGTGGCTTAATCATTATAGGTTCAAGATAATAAATAAATTAACTACTAACACAATAATACATTACTCATGAGCCACTTGATTAAAAAATAATGGGGATCCTAACAAAAATATCCGCATTATTAAAAATAAATATAATTATAGTTTGACTTGAAGTTCTTTTAGTTGTCTAATAAACCACAATTTTCATTTAAGAGTACTCTTAAACAAAATTTGGAAAAATAATGGCTTAAAATTAAGACTTTCTACAGAATTTTGGCCTCTCTTCATACTTAAATTTATCCTTGTACAATCTAGTTTCAACTCAAACTCAATCACCACTACCACCAACAACAATATAGCAGCAACAGTAGCAACAACAACAAAAAAGAATTTACCAACAACAAAAATATCATCCATGATAAAAAAAGAAGAAGCAAGATTAAAGAACTTGTCCAAGTAAGCTTATTAATAGTCCCAAGTTATTTGACTTGCCTTCAAGAACTTTAGAATTCACATGCATTTCAAGAGCGACTTCTATCTTTTTGGAATCTTGAACATTAGGTTTTTAGCTTCTATTTTCATGAAAGAGGACAAAAGTTGGTTACCAAAATTGTATCACTTCAAATCAATTTTCCCCAAACCATAATTTTTGCTTTTAGGACTACTAGAACTAGAAACTAGAAAGTGCATGGAGTATTGTGATAAATAAAAGGCCAGTCTCATACCCTCTAGCAACTAGCTAGCAAGTGCCTAACCAAGACTCAATTGCAAAATTAAATGTAGGTAAGTCTGTTCAAAACCTCACAATGTAACCATACAATTGCTGAAGCTTTAGGCATTCATCAATTCAATACAACCATGCATTTAACCATTGAATTTAAATTTGAAAGCAAAATTCCAGCAATTAAATGATAAAATAACAAGTCTACTCATACAAAAACACAAACACCTTATGTCTTGAATTTGTAAATGAGCAAAAAATTAAAATAAGAAAGGGCTAAAAGAAAAAAAATCAGAAATTAAAATCAGAAACAATGGAAGAAATTAGAAGAAGGCAGAAAATATCAAAAATTAAACACAAAAATGGAACCAATGGAATAATCATTAGAAGCCGTCCATGCAATCAGAGAGACCAAAGACCAAAACAAACTTGGGAGAGAGTGTGATGAACACTTGGCAAAATTACACAGGGAGGAAGAGAGAGGGGTTGACAAAAATGGAGCTTCAAGATTGACTTGAGATTTTGAGATTTGAGTTTTGGGATTTCGTCAAGTAATGGAGTAGAGATTTTGAGCTTATGAGATTTTGGGATTTAAAGAACACTAGCGTGCGAGAGGTTTTTAGGTTCTGCAACTCTATTTAAAAATTGATATCAAGGTTAGAGATTTAATAGTAGACTGTAAATAGGACGGTTCGTCGAAATAACTATCCTGTTAATGCAACAACATAGAGGACGGTTCTCACTTACAACTGTCCTTTATCTACTAATTTTTTTTTTTTAAATCATTTTTTAACTTCTAGAAACATATAGGATAATTTCCAAGGGAACTGTCCTATATTTTGTTTCATATCAGGTGATTCATTGATAAACCATCCTATTTGTGTTCTAACGTTCCACGGGCCATAGCTCTTTGCTCATATAGGATGGTTGTGACTACAACCGTCCTATATGAGGCATCTTATATTAATAATTTTATAGCAATGAATCATAATTTCTAATCTTATAAATTAATTATTCTTTCATCTTATGAATGCAGGTCATTTATCCTTTTTGATTATCTTATTTTTATATTTATTTTTCAATTTATTTTATTTCAATTCTTTCTAATAACCAAATGTACTTATGGCTCTGCAAAGGAACGGAGACTAGAAAAAACAATGAGCAAGGGACATTGCGCGTTTCTCACTCTCAAACCCATCTTTCTAATAATTTGATGGAAATCATGTTCCGTCTATAATAAATTAAATTAGATTTAATTGCCAGAAACCTTTGATTCAAGTGGCACACAACTTTATTATCCTACCTCTTGATGCAAGATGTTCAAGGATCAAATCCCTGTAAGGTTAAAGGGACAAAAATTATGGATGTATGTAAGGGTTTATTGTGTGGTGTGAGACCCCCTTTCTTGTAGAGAAGTGTTATATAAGATTAAAAAAAAGTTAAATTATATTTAATTATATTAACAATCCCCATTAACCCAATATTAGTTTGGTTACACAAACCACACGTATTCAAGTACATATAAGGACAGAATGAGGGGGGAAATGAGTGAGGGCCGATGCACACATTTCTCTCATTTTATATGATCTTTCTCTCACAATTACACCTAGAGGCTAGAGATAGCAAAATGGGTTGGCCCGGCTAAGAAGGGTCGGACTTGAGAAACTCGCTTATTTAAAAAGTGCCGTATTAGTAAAGTTTGACCCTCATTTGCAGGCAGCTTAGGCCCGCCTTACATGTGATTTAGGTCCTTTTATGTATTTTTAATGGTCGTTCTCTTTCAAATAAATACATATTTTGATACTAATAGGCAGTCGGAGTAGTAACAAACTAAAATAACCAATGATAAATGCAAATTTTCTGCTAGCCAGCAATTGAAATCATAATTAAATTCTTTTAACTTCAATTGTGCGATACTTAAGGTTGAACGAAGCTATGAGCTAAAATATTAAGTGGAAGAAAAACCGAGAGGTTGAACGCAACGATGAGAGGCTAAGGGTTGGAGTGAGACTGACTGGAGTTGGAGGCTGGAGCGAATGATAACAGTGAGATTGACTATTGAGTGCCGTGCGAGGCAGTGGATGGATTTAATAACAGGATATGTGAAACTTCATATTAGATAAAATTAAACTTAATAATTAATATATAATAAAAAAGAAAATTTATATAATCCTGAATATTGATATATCTTTTGAATTAAGATATTGTATTCTTCCACTACTCTTATCCATCTATTCTCTACTGCCATTTTCGGGTGGTCATTTTTCATTCCTTATTAAAACAATGTTACATGATAGCCGTGAAGCAAGTTGATCAACTTCTTCAAAATTACCATTAATATAAAAAAACAACATTGATAAAGAGAATATAATTACTCCTCTGTTAAAAAATATAAGATATTTTTAACTGAATCTCACCCTCAATGAAATAGTTACTTGTTTTCAAACTAATTCTACTTTTTCATATTTTTCCCTATTTAATAGAGTGTTTCACTATAAAATAAATATAAAATAATTTATTTAATAGAGACACTTTTGGAAAAAGACAATGATTACACTTTGAAAGACATTTTTTAATATTCAACTTCTCAAAAAATGCTTTATATTTTCGAATGGAGGGAGTATCTTTATTTTATTTTATTTTCTTTTCCCCAAAGAGTTATACAATTATTAAATCAAACAATGTACAGCTTCTTTTAATTATACAACCTTTTTTTAATTATCACACCAAATTTTTAATAGGCTTCATGAAACTCTGTTTTTTTTTTCATTGATGCATCTTTTAATGAGATCTAAATTTAAAAAAGCCAAGCATAAAAAACAAAAACAACAACAACAACAACAACAACAAGCCTTTATCCCACTAGGTGGGGTCGACTACATGGATTGCAAGACGCCATTGTGCTCTATCGTTTATCAAGCTTTTAGAAATATTATTAATTAAGAGATCGCGTTCAATAACTTCCAAGAGTGTTTTCTTAGGCCTTCCTCTACTTCTCTTAATCGGACTCAAAGTTATATGTTCCACTCTTCTCACTGGTGCCTCCCTTGGTCTTCTTTATACATGCCCAAACCATCTCAATCGATTTTCTACCATTTTTTCTCAATAGGTGCCACTCTCACTTTTTTGCGTTTGTGCTCATTTTGAATTTTATTTTTACGTGTATGTCTGCACATCCATTGTAACATTCTCATCTCTGCTACTCCAACTTTATGCTCTTGCTGTCCTGTTAGAGCCCAGCATTCACTATTATATAACATTGTCGGTCTGATAGCAGTGCGATAAAACTTTCTTTAAGTTTATTAGGCACCTTACGGTCACAAATAACTCCTTTAGCTTTTCTCCAATTAAACCACCCAGCTTGAATTCTATGTGAAATATCTCCACTGATTTCGCCATCATTTTGAATAATGGCTCTCAAATATCTAAAATTTTCACTTGAGGTATAATATGTTCAACATTTTTTTAATGGACCAAGCATAAAAAACAAGGGAAAAAATATGTTCAACATTTTTTTAATGGACCATGGTGACTCCAATGCATATCCCATATAGTTTGGAAAACCATTGTATATCACATATTTTAATGACATTTAAATTTTAAAACCAATGATTCTTGCCTAAATGACGACGAATCGCATGGGCAATTAAGAATATTTAATCTTACAAAAATTCTTATTAAGAAACTAAAGTATTACAGTATGCTCTGTACGTAATTGCAGCAAATGCATACACGTTGTTCACACATCATATTTGATCTCAACCACTATATTACGTGTTCAATATATCAACGGTCTGGAATGAATATTCAGAGATGGATATAGATAATGCATATCACGGGAGGATCTGGGTACCTTATAATACATACATACATATATATATAACACATAATTGACATTGTAGAATCAAAACCCTCCTCCTAACAATGCTCCACAACTTTGCCCAAATGGTCGCCAGCTTCCTGGTTCTGGTCTTGTTTCTATATTATTACCATCGCAAACGATGCTGTAAAGATCACCCCCTTGTCACAGAATGGCCTATACTCGGCATGTTGCCACCATTTCTTGGTGATCTGTGCCACTTCCAAGACTTGCTAACTCACGCTTTGCAAACACAAGGTGGTACTGCAAACTTCCATGGACCATCGTTCACTGAGATCAACTCTCTCATGACCTGTGATCCCATGAACGCGCATCACATCATGAGCAAGAACTTCGGCAACTACGTGAAGGGGCCTGAGTATCGCAGGATTTTCAGAGCTTTCGGAGAAGGGGCTCTTGTTGCAGATTTAGACTCGTGAAAATACCAGAGGACCATTCTCCATTCGTTGTTTGCAACAAAGAGCTTCGACAAGTTTCGTGAGAAGATCATTCGAGAGAAGGTGGAGAGCTGTCTGATTCCTCTTCTTTATCATGTCGTCAGGCAACCGCTTGACGTGGATCTGCAAGACGTGTTCAATCGCTTCAGCTTCGACACTATTAGCTCCGTACTCTTGGAACGCGACCCAAAGTGCCTTGCTGTTGATTTTCCAGAAATTGCATGGGAGAGAGCTTTAAATGAATCCGAGGAGTTTTTACTCTACAGATACGTAGTGCCTAGAAGCGTCTGGAAGCTTCAGAGGTGGCTCGGAATTGGACCAGAGAAGAAAATGGTCAAAACAATCGAAACTTTTGACCAATTCCTCCTTGGAAGTATAGCATCAAAGAGAGAAGGGATCAGGCAAAGGAAGGAAATGAAGAAGAAAGAGGACGATGATCATGACTTGCTAATGGCATTACTGATGAAGGAGGAAGAAGGAAAACAACACTTTGATGACAGGTTCTTGAGGGACTCTGCTTTTACTCTATCTCTTGCAGGTAGGGAGACTGTAACTCTAGCTCTCACATGGTTCTTTTCTTTTGGCTTGTTACTACAAACCCTTTGGTGGAAGCCAAGATTCTTGAAGAGATCAAACAAGGAAAGGAAGTGAAAGATCAATTATATCTCCACGGTGCTCTCTGCGAAGCTTTGAGGTTGTATCCACCCATACCCATAGTACGAAGGCAAGCAATCAAACAGGACAAACTTCCCAGTGGACACGAGGTTGGTCCTAATACTGTGATACTATTATCTTTGTATGCCATGGGAAGGTGTGCAGAGATATGGGGAAAAGATTGCTTGGAATTCAAGCCTGAGAGGTGGATCTCAGAGAAAGGAGGCTTTCTTCAGGTACCATCGTACGAGTTTTTTAGTTTCACTGCAAGACCCAGGATTTGATTAGGCAAGAACCTGTCCTTCATTCAAATGAAGATGGTGGCTACTGCTATCTTAAGGAATTATCAAGTCAGTGTGGTAAGAGATCATCCTGTTACTCTTGCAGTTTCAATATTGCTTAAGATGAAGCATGGCCTCAAAGTTCGCATCACAAAAAGAGAACAATTAATTTATGGAGAGGCAGAAGAAAGTAAATTATATTTGTGTCAAATTTGAAGTTAATGTAGTTGAAATTATATATATGTCTCTGTTTTTCTTTGATAATTAAGTCTGTATTAGATGGGTAGGATCTTTCTTGCTCTCTCCTTCCTGTCCTCACACAGGTGGGTTTAACAAAACATGTAAGGAAAAATAGGACCCAGGAAAGGACGGAACGGAGGAGGTAGATCTTGCTTTTGATGAATGAATAAAGTATAAGAAAGCCAATGATTGGCTTGCATGTGATGCTATAAATTAAGAGACGCGCCTGTTTATGATAGGATATTTCTCCACCTTTCCTTTCCTTTGTTGTGAGTTCTTAATTATATGGCTTAGATATGAATGTTTGCAAAGAAGGGGTGAATAATTATTAAGAATATAATGGTCTTCTGTAATAGATTTAATTTGTCCTTCTATATGTGTATGTATACATATGTCATATGTTAACGTTACAGAAGGCATGATAGATAAGGCAGTGGGGTTGATATACAGCAAGGTAAACTGTTGGGATATCTACTCTTAATGGATCAGGTCTTAGCACAAGCCCAATTATAAAATGGGGCTTTGTTAGAATATTGAGAAAATATGGGTTTTTACATGCGATATCCTTAGGCTCTTAAATAAAATTTTCTCTTGGTACTTGGAAAATAATGGGAACAGTTATCAACTGTATACGCAGGATTTCCGTTTTCCTTCATGTGTGAAGGGTATTTGAGAAGGCAAAACCATTTTTCCGAGCACACTGTGTGAGATGTTGAGGGAAAATTATCGCTTCTTGAGTGCTCTCCTCTCTCCTCTCTTCTGGTCGGTGCATTTGTTATGAAGCAAGGACTAGGTTTGAGTAACTCCGTTCATCTGCTTAGAGGAATTATTCACTGCAACTCATAAGTATGTTTTCGGACTCCATATTCCTGCATAAACTCAAAATAAAATAAAATAAAATAAAATTAGCCTCTCAAACTGAAAGCCTCTTCAGTTATAATTGCGCTTTGATTATGGATGCCATTTTTTGGTTTGACGTGGTATTTATATTTATTTGATTTCTTTACTATGATATCTTTTACTCTGAAATATATTTTTTTTTTTAAAAAATAAAACATGTGCTCTTTACATTTTATAGTTGATTAGGACTTGCGTGAACAAATTATATTATCTAAACTTATATAGAGCCGCTGGCGCTGCTTCCCAGTGACAAATTCGGAATATAATGGTTATTGTGTTATTATTTTTCATTTCAATTGTTATATTCTACAATTCATTACAGTGACCCAACCCAAAAATTCAACATTAGCTCAAAGATTTCAGGTTTATAATTTCAACAGCAAACTTCCTATAATAACTGTCCAATGGCTCATAACTTTCCTTGTGAAAAGGATTTTAGGAGTGTCCTAATTATATAAATGGGTGTGTTGAACACCCCATTAAGCTAGGTTTTTGAAGAAAAAATAATGATCTCATGACAAAATGATATTAAAGTTAGACTTGAGTTTTGCCTAATTAGTATGTTCTTTGATAGGACATTTGACATGGACATCATAGATTAATCGGGGAAGTTGTTACATCCCACACTAAAAGTACTTCAGGAGGGTCCTAACCATATAAACGAGTGTATTGCATATCTTACTGAGCTAGGCTTTTTATAAGAGAGTAATGGTCTCATGACCTATGCTTTGGATTGTAATGCCAACAGTTTTGATAATTAAGGCTGGTTTCATTATTTTATTAAATTTATTAAAATATTAACATATAAAAAAATAAAGGTTTATTAGTAATAATTAGAATTATTATTTTCAATATTAATAAATAAAATATATGATGAGATTTAAAATTAAAATGAATAGTAAATAATAAAATAAGTATAATTACTTTAATAATTAAATATTTTTGGGCAAATAATCAATACATATTCTGAGGGAAAGGGTAATGTTGGGTCTATATGTCTTGTGACCCATCAAATGGACATATATCATTCATACCCTATCTAATAAAAACATGTCATGTCAATGAATGTAAATATAAATTGATTTTATTATTGATGATGATAAAAAAAAAAGAAAGAAAGTAAAGAGGCATGCATACCATTCAAAAAGTAAAACCATTAAAAATAATAAGGGTTTTCAATATAATAAATACAAGTAGCACGTAAAGTATCACCAAATATGTATATTAGTTCAATAGAATGGATAATATGTTACCTTTAAGGCTCTATTTGTATGGTGAAAGAGGTTTTAATAGAATTAAAATTAGAATCGAAATCATAATCAAAATAAAATTGAGTTGTAAAAAGATGTTTGATATAGAGATGAAATCCTAATATAATTTTAATAAATATATTTATTTAAAATAGGAAAAGACAAAAATGTACTATCAATAAAAAAAATGGGAGACCTCTCCTTCATCCATCTCCTTTAAAGTCGATGGCAACAAACCACATCTACCGCTACTAGATTAGAACAAGAACCCTGGTGCATAACAAAAGAAGAGCAACAACATTACAAATAATAACCAATTATAGAGCAAAGAAAAAAAATCTACTAAAAATCAAAACTTAAAAAAAAAAAGGAAATGTCATCATTGGAATGTACGGTCTCCATTACTAATCTCCACTTAACTTCAAAATCAAGGTAATTAAGAAATTAACTCCAAAGAATTGCCAAGTTTGCAAATTTTATAATAAAAGATTTCAAAACCTTCAAATCACAATTTAGTGCAAACCAAAGCATAATAAATTTATGGAAGTTTGAGATATTGTTTTAAAGCAAAGTATTTGCATTTCCATTGAGAAAACAACATTTTAGTGCAAAACAACAGAGGTGTGCCATGGCATGTTTGCCTCTGTGCCATGTGCTATGGCTCAAACTCTTCATATGCACCACGATACATTGCACAATTTTTATAGCACTATTGTTTTCATATGATAGCAACTAGGGCGGACTTTCGATGTGCTCCATTTCTTAGTTCGATGTTCAAATGAGGCATTCTAAGTGTGTACAGAGAGCTTTTTTTGGCTCTAGCTAATGGCACTAGTTTCCCAATTATATTATTTCTCAATAAAAAATTAGACACTTATTTCTTAATTCACTCCTTTTCACAATTCAAACACAATTTAGGTGTCATAAGTTCATTTAAAGTGCCAAAGCCCTAAATACAACCTAGACCACAATCAATAGACTATAATAAATTTATGCAATATATCACATCATACAATTACTACTTCTAACACATGTTCCATTCAACCCCTTAATCACAAAAAGAGAAGGGGAAGCCTTAATAGCATAAGTCATTTATTAAATCATTGTATACAATCAACATAATCACATAATTTTTCACCTCTCACTTGTACTAGTATTTTGGCCCTTTCTAAGTTTTACAATTAACATATACACAACCCAGGGCCCAAAATACATAATTAAACTTAACATTCATATAATGCAAGTAAGTAACTATGAGTTGTCCTAGTTAGCAATATCAAAATGGATTTATACGCATAAATATTCAAATTAAATGAGGCCTACTTAAGCCTCATATTATTTCTCTCGATCTTGACTCAATGAGTTAGCTCTTGTAATATTAAAGAGAAAGGGGTGAGTATAACCACTCAGTAACTAAGGTTTATCTAACTTATATTAATACAAGTCAATCAATTTAAATAAAAATGGCAATCTATTACCATACTCACATCATTCTAGCATGTTCAAAACATATATTCACATTTCATATCCATAACAGCATATATTCAAGAGATAATGGCATGATAACTCAATTTCATATTGATATAAAACTAATCACATGATTTTCATCATTAGATCATAATACAGATAACCATGTGCCCTTAATTCATAATATGCATGATCATACCTCTTTGATATCCTCCTTATGCCTTTAACATGAAACTGAGAGCTATACTATGACATCCCGAGTTTTAATTCCCTAATTAATTAAACCTAATTAGGATAATTAAGTAAATTAAAGTGGTGTATGGCTAGAGAGGTCTAATAATTATGTTTGATGCTATTTCAGCCTTAGTTATGGGTCTGGTATCGAGGCAAACCACTTGGGCATTGAAAGGAGAAGAAAAGAAAAAAGTTGAAGTTGCTGTGCCACACACCGCAGCATATAAATTATCTGCCATGGCGCACAGCCATTTCTGAGTGAGGGAAGACCTCTCTGTATGATGTGCTGCAGCGTGTTGTGCGTTCGCCACGGCATATGGCTATTTTCTGCACTTTATCAGACACGAAATGAGATAGAAAAAGAAAGAAGAGAAAAGAGAGAAAGAAGAGGTGAACTACAGCTCTGTTAGGGTTTGCTTGGGGGTCACTTTGAGAGTATTTTGAAGGCTACAAACACCCAAGGTAAGTATCATACTCATTAATCTTTCCTTTTTCTTTCACATTTATAAGTTTATAGTTAGGGTTTGATAGTGAAAGTGGGATTTCAATCCATATAGGTTATGGGTCTCAATTTGTTGACTCAAATGGAGTTAATGGGGGTAAATTAGATAATTTAAACCTAGGTATGATGAGTTTTGGTGTTTTAAGTTGTTAGGAACTATAAATGTCCAAAAATCCCATTTATTATGGGTGGTTAGAAGTTGTGACACCATTAATGGGAATTTAATGGCTCATTAATACTATTGGGAGCTAAAAGTAATTATTAAACTCAATAGTTAGGCTCCACCTCTTATAAAACGAATGTTGGATAGTTTAGGAATAAAGATGGAGGCTTCACTTGTTGAGTTTGTTATGTTGATGGAATTCAAATTGATTGATTGCAGCTTTGGCTCTTGGTTACCTATTGGAGTGGAAATTCAAGCTTGAAAGCTAGTGAATTGAGGGGTAAACCTTTGATCTCTTAAATGTTTAAGGTAACCAGGGGAAAAATCTACTTTGAGTAGTTATATGTTAATTGATTGCTAATTGGTTGTGAATATGAAATTATAA